ACCGCCTTAAAAGTTTATAGGGGCGCTAGATACATTGTTTCTGAATCAGCTGTATCACCAGTGTGCTATGGTGCCTCTGGCTTGATGGCCGGGTGCCCTTTCGCTCCGGCACTAGCCAAGCTGGCCCTTTTCCCGAGTCTTTCGACCCTTCATGCTTCCAAACTCAACGACAACATCACAGCATGGCTAGACGACATCAGTGTCGACACCGAAGGTTCCAGTGCAGAGCAAACGGCGGTCAGGGCCCAGAAGTCTTTTCAGCTTTTGAAAACCTCCTTGGAGCGGGATGGGTTAAAAATGTCGCTGAGTAAAACTTGTTTTGTTTGTACTGACTCCCGGTCAGAAAAAGCCCTTAAACGCTTGCTAGGCCCAAATGACCCTCCCATATCCTCGTTGGCCCGGGATCTTGGCACTGACTACTCCGGCGCCCGCAGACGCAGGATCACCATTGCCAAGCAAAGGGAGGCCAAAGGCAAGACCAGGTCAGGCCGTCTTCGCAAACTCCAGGTTCCTTCCCTTTCGCATAAGTGGAGGGCTTTTAAAGGTGGGGTTTTTGCCACAACGGCGTGGGGCCATCAGGCCCAGGGCCTTGCCCCTAAAAGATTGAAGTGGTTGAGGGCATGTGCGGCCCAGCAGCTCAATCGTCACAAGCTCGGCAGTTCCGATTTGCTGTTTGACTTCCATTGCAAACATGAGGATCCTCTCATCACCATTGTGACCCAACATTTCACAACAATTGCCAGGATCTTCCGCAGATGGCCGCAGTCTCTTTGGTCTCAGCTTCAGACTACTTGGGCAAGCTCGTGGGAGAGACTCCAGTCGGCAGTGTATCCCTGGCAGGTTGTGTCAGGCCCCATGGCAGCGGCCCAAGCCTACTTAATGCAACTCGACGTTGAATGCCGCTCCTTGGAGCAGTGGAATTTTGGGCAAACTGTTCTGCCGTGTCAATGGCGGGATGTCAGCTTCAAGGAGACCTTGCTAAGGCGTCTTCGTAGTCACCTCCAAGCGCAGCGCAATGCCAGGATTGCAAACATTCTTGAAATACCTGAATTACCGCAGGGTTTTGACTGGACCAGCCATCGCAAGCGTGTCACTCGGATGACGAAGGCCAAAAAGCCAACGAAATGGCTTCTTGCGCTTTGGCAAGGAGCTGTGCTGTGCAGCTCAACAGGTGGTCAGGAGTTTTGCCCCTTGTGTGGCACCCCTGCGTCATGGAGGCATGTTTTGCTTGATTGTCATTACTGGCGTACCCGACACCGTAGCATTCCGCCTCAGTGGGACGAGCTTCAACGTCAGTGGCCTGTTCCTGCACTGTGGGAAAGAGGCTTGCTACCTGCTAGTCTTACCCAGCAGTCGAGGCCTGACTTCACTCTCACTGATGTCAGAGAGGGTCTATGGGCCACCAATGACTCTCTGGATGCTCAGCAATTTGTTTTTAGTACTGATGCAACGGGTGGCCCTGAAAGTGCAGATGATCGACTTCGCATTGTGGCGTTTGCCGTTATTGCCTTTAAAAAGCAAGGTGATCAGCTTACTCAGGTTGCGTCCATAACGGGGTATCTCCCTGTGGGTGCCTCGGTTGCTGAAGGTGAAACGCAGGCACTGCAGGTTTTGCAAAGCAACGTCGTTGGTGAAGCTGACGTCACTTGTGACTGTCAAGCTGCAATCAAACGAGCTCGCTCTTTTGGCACCAACTTGCACTGCCATTGGGTTAGGTCTCACTTGAGTTTGGAGGCGTTCCAAGCTGAGTTTGGCGTGCACAACACCTGGCGACATGAAGCCAATAATGTTGCTGACCAGCTTTGTGATAAGACTGCCCTTAAAATCTTTGACAGGAGCTTCTTAAGCAAAATCCAGTCCCTTGATGCTTTGGTGCAGCAAATTTCCACTTTCCTTGCAGAGAGAGTTGAGATCCTGATCACTTCCAAAAAAGATCCACCCCCGCAGGTGTTCCAGGAAAAAAGGGTGTGTCGTAAGCAGAAACCTGGCTCTGCTTCTCAGCCGTTTGTGAAACCACGCCGGGCAGCAGAACAAGCCTTGTCAGCGTCGGCCACTCGCCCTGCACCCAGCCTTAACAAAAAGCAAAGGTTGCGCCAACTGCTCGAGGACCCCAGCCTGCAGCTGGGTCACGAATGGCAAACGACAGGGACCAAGGCTGAGAACAACGTTGCTGTTCAATGCCAACGTTGCCAACTTTACATTGAGCAATGTAATGCGCCTGACCTTTTCAACCGAAAAATTAACCACCCTTGCCAAGACATCCCAGCAGCCTTGCCTGAGTGCTGGTCGATTCACTCTTCGCACTCAATGGTAAATAAAGGAGCGTTTTTCGCTTGCTCTAAGTGTCTGGCAACAGCAAAGTTGGCAGCTAAGGCAGCAACTAAGTTGCTTTCGGCCCCCTGCAAGGGTTTAGCACGCAAGGCAGGTAAGAACCTCATAAAAACTAACGTGCATGAACAAGTCAGTGCTGCGCAACATGTACCTATCGCTTCGCTGTTTCAGCCCAAAGTTGAGGGCACACCAGTTGCGGAGGTGAGTGTGCAACACGACCCAAATGTGGGTGACCGACCGGGAAAGGAGGCAAAAGCAAAGGCCACCAAACCTTTGTCTAAGGGTTCCAAGCCTAAGTCTAAGCCCAAACCTTCCCCACCTGGCGAGGACCCTAAGCAAACTAAGTTGTGTTTTGGAAAACTCTGAACCTCAAAGCCCGGTGAGCGCCCTGTAGGCAGCTCCCGGAAAAAGGACCAAGGTCAAAAATTTTTGTCACCATAGTTTTCTCAACAGCAAAGTGCCCTCTGACAGCACTCGGAGTGAAGGCGCTGTGCCTCTGGCCACACTCTGTGGCCTTTACCCGCCAGTGTTATGATTAAGTTGTCCTTTGGAAAACCCTGATCCTAGCTTTGCCCGGTGAGCGCTGTGCTTGCAGCTCCCGGAAAAATGGAAAGTGAGTTTTCTTCAGCACGATCTAGTAATGCCACTGGCTGTCAAGACAAACCATGTGACCCAATAAGTCAGTGACCTGGACCTTATGACACTTCAAGCCCTGGCCCTCTTGCCTGCCTGTCTTCACTGGTGTCGACAGAGGTCTGCTGCCTTAGTGTGTGAGGTGCTCACACCAGTTCTCACTGACCCTTATAATGCTCATGATCCTTAGTGGTGAGGACATTTGCGTGCTCTCACCACGAAGGAAGCTGCTGCCGCTGTGTACAGGCTGCCGGTAGTTTTGTGTACAGTTCTTCAAGTGCAACACACAAGAGGCTGAGTCGTGACTCCTTTGCTCACCAACTGTGCTGGTCAGACGGCTGCTGTAAGTTGTGGGCTGCTGCCCAAAGGCTTTCGCCAGTTCCAGCAGGGACTCTTGCAAACGCAGCGCCACGGTGCTCCCGCTTCTTCGGCTTGGAGCCGGCTTGCTATATAATGCTCATGATCCCGAGCGGTGAGGGCATTCGCGTGTTCTCACCACGAGGGGGCTGCTGTCGCTGTGTACAGTCTGCTGGTAGTCTCCTAGCTCAGTGTAGTTGCTGACGAGTGAACGTACTGTTGTACTTTGTTGCTTACTCCTACTTGGAAAGAGGCGAAGGGCTTGCGCTCTCAGGCTTGCTCGAAGCTCCCTGGGAAGTAACCTCTTTCGTCCTCTGTGCTAGGTCCAGTGGCCAAGCGTGCTGCTGTTAGATCTGCGCTCTGCTAACGTTTCAGGCCTCTGGCCGCGACTTGCTGTCCGCAAAGTGAGAAAAGTTTACTCCTCCGGGGCTCACCGCGCAAAACGGCCCGATCTTCGACTTCAAACCAAGGCTTCCCCAGCCACAGGGCAAGCCAGACCAGGATCAGAAGACAGGGGCTGAAGACCTTGATTCGACAAAGGAGGCCCCGGATGCTTCCATGAAAGAACCACCAGAGGGCGAACCTGAAGAGAACTCTAATCCTCGAGACCGCAGCCCACGGCGCACAAGCCGTAACGGCTCCAAAGAGGCGAACACAGCCCAGGAGTAGGGACTCGGTGGGGGCGAAGCCGCCCTCTGGGTGGCTGTTTTTGATGGTTCCCAGAGGAGCCTCGGCTCGCCCTGGGCCGAAGTCTTCAGCGGCACGCAATTGCCAGTTCTCACCGTTTTGTATGCAGGCCTTCTGCTTGCTCTCAACCTAGCTTCATGGGCGCTCTGCTTGGCCCATGCCCCCTTTTTCAAAAAGCCCTTCAGGCAGACCTGGGAGCCACTCACGCCAACGTGTTCGGCTTCCCAGTCTCATGATGGGTTCCTTTTTCCCAAGCGCCCCAAAACAGCGAGAAGATGTACTTCCTGTTTTAGAATACTGCACGCACAACACCGGCCTTTCAAAGGCTCTGGTGCCACAGACACTGGTCCGGAGGGCCGTAGGCAGAAACCGTGCGGCCCTCTTTGCAACCAGTGCAAGTGCAAGGTATCCCACCCGCCCCCGAATTCGGGGCCGAGGTTTTTCCCGCAATCTTTTGGTTACCAGGAATCAACTGAGGACACCTCTGCGGAGCACCACCATGGGGACTCCCAGTTCCCTCCCCCAACAGGGCCGGGGCCAATACGGCTGAAAGGGTTGGGGTTACTCCTGGGCAAGGCTCAGGGGTAGGCCGGGTTTCCCCCTGCCACCTGTGCCATACCCAAGCTGTTCTGAAGCCTTGGGTTATCAAGCGAGCGTGGTGGCGAAAGTTGCAGAGGCTTGTTGTTTCTGATCATTGGACTCAGGCATCACAACAAGCAAAACTTGAGCCCGTGACTCACTGGAAGATTGGCTCCGAACACAAGGTCTGTGGGCCATGCCGGGCGCAACTTGCTGCCATCGCCCAGACCTCTGCCAGCCAGCACACCACTGAAGCAAGCCCGAGGCCCTTCGAGGGCTGGGTCAACCTCAAAACCACTCTCCAAGAAGGGGGGGTCGGCCTGCAACACTGCCAAGCCCAGCTCCTGCAATGGGTGGAGGATCATGAAGCCAGCCTAGCAGAGCACACACTCCCCCACTGGACGGCATGCCGCATGGTCAGCTGCATTGAGGAAGGTGTAGAGGATGTTGCTGGCCTGGTTGGAGCCATCGAACACATTTGTGCTTCCCCGCCGGGCTCCGGCAGGAGAAGTTTCCGCTTTGCGGGGGCCAACATCACCTCCTACCGGGCGGAGATACAAGCATGGGTTTCCCAGCTTGATGTTGATGCTTTCGGTTTGCAAGAAACACACCTTCTGGCGGCCTCCACCCAGAATGTGGTCACAGGCTTTGACCGTGGCAAGTACCGAGTGGTGCCTTCCCCGGCCCTGGACACGGGCAAAGGCACCTCCGGGGGGCTCCTTCTCGGGGCCCGGCACCACGTCAATATGCGCAATGGGCCCCAGTTCTCGTTGCAAGGCAAGGGCTTCCAGTTTGGCATTTTCCGCTTCCCTGGGAGAGACCTCGCCATCGGTCACATTTACCTTGAGAGCGGCCCGGGACCGGGAGGGGGAACCAATCCCGCGATCCTTGCGGAGCTCCTCTCCACCCTGGACATGCTTTCCTGTCCCTGGGTCATCGCAGGCGACTGGAATTGCAGCTGGCAGGACCTCCACGAATCCTCCTTTGCCCGCCTCAGCAAGGCTGCTTTCGTCGTTCCTGGGGAGCCCACCACGACCCATGGAGCGACGCTCGACTTTGCAGTTTGCTCGCGTCAACTCCAAGGCCTTCTCAAGGCCGAGGTGAGCTGGGAGGTCCCCTTCCGACCCCATGCCTTGGTAATCTACGAATTCCAGGTTGATTCCATCGGGACTATGGTGCTCCAACCCAAGTCCTTTTCGAATCTCTGCCGTGACCAGGCAACGGAAGAGGCCAGACCGCCCGACCCCACCACAGTGACGTTCCTGTTGGAACCGACCACATCCAATCGAGGGGACACTTCGTGGGGAGGTTTTGTCAAGTGGCTTGAGGCTACTACTTGTTCCGACGGCATCCAGGGCAGGGGCTGGAAGGTACAAGCGGAGATAAAGCCTCTCATTCCGCCAACCTCGCCCAAATTCCCGTGGTTCGGGCGCAAATCGGGCTATTGGGACCGACTCGGTCTCTGGATGAACCAGGCGGCCGAAAACCGCCTTCCCTCTAAGATCAGGTTGTGCTTCGCCACCTTGGCAGCCCTGATGAGGATCTTGAGGTCGAGGGCCTGGACCTGCCAGCCCTAAGGCTCCGCCTCGCAACCCGGATCCAGGAAGGCCTGGCTCCAACACTGGCCGAATTATCTGACCTGACCAAGGTGCAGAAGGCCGCAGCGGAGGGCAAAAGAGCATCCGACAACGAGCGGTACAAAACTTGGTTGGAAGAGGCCACCCAAGGTGGCATGAAAGGCCTCTATGGGGCCCTCAGAAAGTCCGAGGTTACCACGGTTCGCCCATACCGGGACCTTCCTCTTGAGATCCGCCACCACGAGAGAAGAGCCGATTGGCAAAGGTCTGGGAGCCTTCCACCAACAACCAAGCTCTTGAGGACCCGGTTTTTCTCCAGCTTCGTGAGCTTGCTGTGGCACAGCACCAGGAGCTGGGCCCGGTGTCTACAGAAGAACTCCAGAAGGTGCTCAAAAAACTCTCCAGCAAAGCACCGGGACTAGACGGTCTTACCGCTCCCATGTTGAAGCGAGCTACGGGTCCCCAGATTACCGAGCTCGCGGAGCACCTTCAGGCCTGGGAGGCCACTGGACAGATGCCCTCTCAGGTTCTCACCACAGGGGTCACCATGCTCCCCAAAAAACCTGAGAGGGAAAGGCCGATCGGCCTCACCTCTTACGGCTACCGCATCTGGGCTCGCACCAGGTGGCCGGTTTATGAGAAATGGGCCCGTGGCTATGCGGCCACGGCCCCGTGGGATGGTGCCCGCCAAGGTGCATCCTCTCTTGATATAGCTTTGGCCAGGCTAATCAGAGGGGAGGTCAACCATTTCCACAAAAAGAAGGGCATCACGCTCCTTCTTGACCTGCGTGAGTTCTACGAGCACGTTGACCTCGTAGGTCTGGCGCACTCGGCGTTGGAGCACTCCTTCCCCCCTCTGGTACTCCATCATTGCGTCAGACTCTATACTCACTCCAGATACATTTGCACGGAAGGAGCTCTGGCATCACCAGTTAAGCCAACTCGTGGTGTCATAGCCGGCTGCCCGTTCGCGCCGGGCCTATCAAAGCTTGTTCTCCATCCCGTCATGCAAACTCTTCATCAATGCCCCAGCCTCCACAACTGCGACCTTTACATCGATGACTCCAGCTTCGACGTTGAGGATGTCTCGGCCACCACCGTGGTGCACAAGGCTTTGGAGGTTTGGCGGCTGGTCAAGCAAGAGTTTCGCCAACGCAAGCTTCCAGTCTCCATTGCCAAATCGGCTTGGGTCTGTTCCAGCCGGGAGGTTGAAAAGAAACTTGCCGCCCATCTGGGGGAAGCTGACCCTCAAATCCAGTCCTGCTGGCGGGATCTTGGTGTCGACTCAGCTGGTGGCAAGCGCAGACGGGTGACTATTCACAGGCAGCGTTTCCAGAAGGCGGGTGGCCGATCACAGAAACTCACCCACCTTCGCGTCAAGGATGGGGCGCGCAAAAAGGCCGCCAAGGCAGGAGTCGAAGCTGCTGCCGTGTATGGGCACCAAGCTGTTGGGCTCGCGCCGAAGAGATTGAAATTTCTTCGCCAGCTCACGGCTCAACACAATGGTCGGCTCACCAATGGTGCCACGGAGGTTGTCCTGGATCTCCTTTGCACCACCAAGCCTGACCCCTCCGGGCTGTTGGTGGAGCAGCACATCCGGAGCTTTGTCACTCTGGTCAGCAATTGGCCCCAGGCCCTCAAACCAACTCTTGTGAGCGCGTTTGAAGGAATGTCCCAGAGGGTCTCAACACATAAGGAGCCGTGGCGGATAGCAGCCGGGCCGCTTGGCGCCACCTTGTGTTACCTCAAGGAGCTTGGGTGGACGGCCTTGTCCATTCTACGATGGGAGATTGCAACCCGGCCCTACGATCTCGAAAACCCCCTGCAGCTTGAGCAGGTGCTGCGCCTTTTGCGCAAACACTGGGCTCAAAAAAGGCTCCAAGCCATCAGCCAGCTCGAAGGCAGTGCCTCCTTAGCGGCAGGGGTGGACTGGACGGTAGGAAAGAAGCTGCTTCGCAAGCTTCCGCCTTTACAGAAAAAGAGCCTCCAAGCAGTCTGGCAAGGAGCCCTCCGATGTGGGAAAAAGGCCTGGTGCACGAGGTGCAACGCACCTGCCACCCAGCAGCACCTCCTCTGGGATTGTCAATGGTGGCACAACCATGACCCTGTTCCCGAGCAGGTGCAACAAGCCCTTGCCAGGGTTGACCAGGCTGTCAAGGTGCGGGGCTTGGTTCCCTCGGACCAGCCCGTCTCCTCTGACCACCCCTTGGTACTGAAGGGACTCTGGGAGGAAGGCCTCATCTTGGCAGACCCTGACATCTTTTATGCCACGGACGGCTCGCCTGGATCCACCAATGATCCTCGCGCGTGGAAGCTAACTTGGGCAGCCATCGCTTTTAAAATCAAGCCAGGGGGCATCGAAGTTGTAGCCTCGGCGGCGGGCCCCGTCCCGGCCGAACAATCTGTCTTCCGTGCGGAGGCCTGTGCCCTCCTCTTTCTCGTGGAGCACACGGCTGGTGCCATTGATGTCACGATGGATGCCAAGAGCGTCAAGACTCGTGTGGAAAGGCGTTCCCTCGGCCGCACCTCACTGGACCTGGTTTACCCAGTCCGAGAACACGCTGAGCGTCTCCACCTTCACTGGATTCGCAGCCACAAGTCCCTTGAATCTCACTGCCAGACCTTCGGCAGCCAATCCGCCTGGAGATGGCATGCTAATCAGGCCGTTGACAAACTCGCTGGTGACCATGCGAACCAGTCCCGCGACCGGACATGGGAGATTCGACTTGCGGCTAGAGATGCGGATGCCAAAATTGTCCTTGGTTTCCTGGCGGCCCGTGTGGCAACTCTTTTCGAGTACGACCAGGACCAGGGCCCTCAGGTCCAGTTCGAAGGAGAGGACACTTCTCCGAAACGCAAAGGCCGGGCTGTGGGCTTCAAAAGGAAAGGCAAGGTCACCCGGCCCGAGCCGGCCAAAACCCCCAGTCAGAGTAGCAAACCCAACAAGAGGGACCTCTTGAGGGATGCCGTCTCAAGTCCCCAGCTTGGGCACACCTGGAAGTGGACCTCCGAGCACCAAAGTGGGGCACGCATCAGCTGTACCACCTGCAAGCTTGGTGCCCAACAGATCTCTCCTGAAAAACAGCTTCGGAGGATCTTGGCCCAGCCCTGTGTCGGGCACTGCTCGCAAGAGATCTTCCTCAGTTTCTGGGAGTGCCACCCGACCCACCGCATGGTCTTCGAAGGTACTCTCTGGAGGTGCTCTGGGTGCAAGAGGACTCACAAACACCTGCAAGGCCAAACCCAGCACAACTGGGACGAAATCCAATAAGGAGCCGCCTTCGGCAAAGGCCAGATCCGAGTCAGCCCCCGCCCTTTCCAGGGCAGTGGGTCAGGCTGATCCAGCACCCTCCAACCCACCAGCCCCTTTGGCCAAGGCTCCCGGCGCTGGAGGCGGTCACCGGGTCTCTGGTTCTGCCAGACCCTTGGCCAATTCTGTGCCCAAGCCGGCTGTGCATGCAAGCCATGAGGCCACCCGGCCCTCGGCTCCCATCCCGGTGGTTGGTCAGGAGGGCGGTTCCAAGGGTTCCCAACCCGAACTGCCCCAGTCTCCTTTTGCCCTTGCACAAGGCTCGGGCTCCCGACCAATCAATCCGGCCCCTAAGCAGGGCAAACGGAGTAAAACTCCAAGGGCTTCGACGGAGCCCGCTGGCGGTCCCAAGCAGACAAAACTGCATTTTGGGGCGCCCAAACCTCCCCCCCCCTTAGGCGCACAGCGCCTGGCCCTAGGGTTCCTCCCTTAGCTGGTTTCTCCTCTTCTCCGCAGCTGTTTGGTTCACAGGTGGGTAGGCAGCATGGAGAAGGCCAGCCCAGCCGAGCCCCGCAGGGGCAGAGAGCCGGCTAGGGAAAGGGGCCCAGACCAAGGGGAAGTCCCCGGCTAAGGGCAAGGGGACAGACCCAGCCAAGGGCAAGGGCTCCACCCGCTCTAACAACAAAGACTCCAAAGGAGCGCAGCCTGGCAAGGGGAAAGGCCAGCCCCACAACCCGGCTGAGCCCAGCCAGGGTGGTTCGGCCAGGAAACATAGATCCAAGAGCTCGAATGAATACAGTCAAAGGAGGGCCGGGAAGAGGCAAAGGCAGGCTGGGCAGTACTTCCGATGGTCGCGTCCGCTACCACCGGCGGCCGACCAGCCCCGTGACACCCCGCCCCCACCGGCGCCTAAGCGCCGCGGCGGGCGTAAGGAGGAGGAGGAAAAAAGTGCTGCCTCGTACTCCTACTACTCTTCCTCCCGCTCTAGGTCATTTCGGGCAAAGGGAAAGTCGGCCACAACGGGCAAGGAGAAGTCTTCAAAGACCCCGGCCCCGGCAGCTGGCCCAAGAATGGCCGTTAAGTCCAAAGCCAAGCCCTCTGCTGAGGGAGAAGTGGCATCGGACTCTCCCGTGCCTGTGGACGCCTCTGCTCCTTCGAGCTCCCAGGCCGGGGTTCCCCCGCCTGGAGTGAAACTCACTCCGGTGGCCAAGGAAAAGGACTCCCCGGCCTCTTCTGAGGATGAGAAGGGATCCCAGGCCGGTTCCATGGCTGCCAAGGAAGAGTCTTCCGACTCTTGCTATGAGCCCATCCGGCTGCGCCCGGCTCCCCTCTCCAGCCCTGCGAGGAGGGCGCTACCTGTGCCTGATCTGGGGGTGAACATGCAGTTCACTATCCAGCTTAAGGATGCCTCCAAGGAGGCGTGCTCAGGGCGCTACCTGCACGCTGCGTCTCTGGTGTACTTCGCACACCAAGACCGCCAAGGCGCGGAGCCGGGCTCCCCGCAAAAGGTGGCCACGGCCCTGGAAGTGCTTGGCTTAGGGGGCTCTCGAGTGGTCTTCCGCTCGCCTTCCAACCCGGCCAAGTGCTGGAAGCTCTCTAAGAGGTCTCAGGAGGCAGAGCGAGTCCAGGGGCCCGCGGCACACCAGGGCTTTGGGTGTGCACCGTGTTGTCGAGGAGGGCAAGGGTGGCACCTCCTTCTTCGCGTCTCTTTTGGAGACGGAACTTGTGGATCCTCTCCCCATGGTCAACCCGCCGCTGATCTTCCAGATCTGCCTGACAGTGTGCCAAGCGGCGAAATTTGCAAACGTCCGTGATCTAGGACGGAAAAATATGGGCAGCAGGTCCATGCCTCAGGGCATGGGAGACCCACCCAGGTATGAAGTCCTGCTGCTGGACGCCAACGACTGGGAGGAGTACGGTTCTCAAACCAACCCCCACTGGCCAAACAAGCGTCGGGCCCAGGGACTTTGGTCCACTGTGAGCTCTTTCTCACCGGAGCTGCTGGAGCCGTTGCAGCAACTGGTGAAGCAGCACCAAGCCGACCTCCAGGCCCTGACCCAAGGGATCTACAACCTGATGGGGAAAACCCTGGTTAAAGGGGAGGCAGAAGATGTGCTCGAGGCACTGGTCTCGACCCAGGCACTTGGGCTCTCTCCGGAAGGCCACATCTGCCAGTACGTGCTGAAGCAGGGTGGCCCCCACCCGCTTGTCCCGGGCCAGACGTGGGAGCTCCACCCGCTGGAACACTTCCAGCAGGGGAAGCTCCGAAAGGCCAGAACTTGAGCAGGAGCTAGGGGCGTAGGGCACCCAGGACTGAGTACCCAAGGGGAAAGGTCCTTGGGGCCCTGCCACGCCCCAGCTCTCGCCTTGGGCTTCCCAGGCACAACCAGCTGAGTATCTACGGAGAAAGGCTTGGTGGCAGTGCAAACCAGCGAAGTACCTACGGGGAAAAGCTTGGTGTCACTGGCCGTAGAACCAGCCGAGTACCTCCGGGGAAAGGCTTGGTGTTTAGGTGCGTAGGACCAGCCGAGTACCTACGGGGAAAGGCTTGGTGCACCGCCATGGGATCCCCAGGCGACCCAGCTCCAAGAGAGCTTGGGCCCTTTTTGCCCCAATAGGGGGAGGCGTGGGAAACCCCACGCCAGTCGTAGGCCTTGGCTCGACCCGTTTCACCCCAAACTTTGGCCCCTGGCCGCACCGCCCGCGCTCTCGAGAAGAAAAGTTTACTCCTTGGCTCAAGTTTTCGGCTCGAACCCTGCTTTCAGAGGTGGGAAGCTTCTGTTAGCCGGCGCGAAAGTAGCTGTCTTACTGGGCACTGGGGCCTTAACGTTTCTTTGGGAATGCAGGCCTCTTTGAACCCCAGGTGTAGTTTCTTTTGCCATAGAGCCGAGGGCTTGGTTTTCCAGCCCCAACCCTATCCCGGCCTCGGTCTAGCCGAGCTGGTGATTTGGGTGCCCTTCCCAGCCTCAGGACTTGGTCATCCAGTCCGGGCTTGGGTTCCCAACTTTGTTGGGCAGCCCCAATCCGTGACCAGGGTCTTCCCGGTCCAAGGATGGCTAAAGGAAAGGGCAAGCAATGGGGCAGAGCTTACCACGTCTGCAAAGGAAAGGACTGTAACAACTGGTGTTGGGCAGACTCGGTGGTGAAGGCTCCCAAGTGCAGTGGGTGTGGCCGACAGTGGCCTCAGCCCCCGAAGGCCAAGGGACCGGCAGTCCCTCCCCCGCCACCCACGCCGCCTGAGGGCAGGCGATGGGGACGCGAACAAGGCAACAGCCGTCACTTCCTGCGCCTTCTCCACTCCAAGTGGGCTGAATTGGGCGACTCCACCAAAGAGGCTTTCCAGGCTGCTGGGTTCAAGCCCAAGCCACAACCACCGCAGGAGACCTCCCTGCTTGACAAGCTGCGCAGTAGGAAAGGGGAACTCCCAGAGGATATCCAGCTCCTGTTGGACTCCCTTGAGGAAACCCCCTCGGCCACCCCGTACCAGGAGCGCCAGCATTCCTCCAACGCGCTCACCAAAGCCTCGCACCGCTACCGCCAGCTAGCCAGGAAGAAGTTGGACCTCCAGGCCTCGGTCAACCAGGCCAAAGAGGACCTCAAGGCCATGCTGGACGAGCTCCAAGAGGTAGACAAGCTGATGGAGGAGGCCAAGCAGGCCATAGATGATGCCCAATCCAAGCTCACTGAAGCTCTGGAGCAGTCGGCTCCCACCCAGGCCTCTCCGCCACCTATCGGGGAAGTGGCTTCCTTTCAGGATTTTGGCAAGGTTTTGGGCATTGAATTTACCAAAGAGCAGCAGGCTGTTCTGGACAAGGCTGTGGCGGCTCACCTGCCTCCGGGGCTCACCGCGCAAAACGGCCCGGTCTTCGACTTCAAACCAAGGCTTCCCCAGCCACAGGGCAAGCCAGACCAGGATCAGAAGACAGGGGCTGAAGACCCCGATTCGTCAAAGGAGGCCCCTGATGCTTCCATGAAAGAACAGCCAGAGGGCGAACTTGAAGAGAACTCCAATCCTCGAGACCGCAGCCCACGGCGCACAAGCCGTAACGGCTCCAAAGAGGCGAACAAAGCCCAGGAGTAGGGACTCGGTGGGGGCGAAGCCGCCCTCTGGGTGGCTATTTTTGATGGTTCCCAGAGGAGCCTCGGCTCGCCCTGGGCCGAAGTCTTCAGCGGCACGCAAATGCCAGTTCTCACAGTTTTGCACGCAGGCCTTCTGCTTGCTCTCAACCTTGTTTCATGGGCGCTCTGCTTGGCCCACGGCCCCTTTTTAAAGATGCCCTTCAGGCAGACCTGGGAGCCACTCACGCCAACGTGTTCGGCTTCCCAGTCTCAGGATGGGTTCCTTTTTTCCAAGCGCCCCATAACAGCGAGAAGATGCACTTCCTGTTTTAGAACACTGAACACACAACACCGGCCTTTAACAGGCTCTGGTGGCACAGAAACTGGTCCGGAGGGCCGTAGGCAGAAACCGCGCGGCCCCCTTTGCTACCAGTGCATGCGCAAGTCATCCCACCCGCCCCCGACTTCGGGGCCGAGGTTTTTCCCGCATTCTTTTGGTTACCAGGAATCAACTCAGGACAACTCTGCAGAGCACCACCATGTGGACTCCCCGCTCCTCACTGAGAACACCTCCCTCAGTCAGCCCTCCTCCATTGGGACCGGGGCGAATATGGCTGAAAGGGTTGGGGTTACTCCTGGGCAAGGCTCAGAGGTAGGCCGGGCTTCCCCCTGCCACCTGTGCCATACCCAAGCTGTTCTGAAACCTTGGGTTACCAAGAGAGCGTGGTGGCGAAAGTTGCAGAGGGTGGTTGCTTCTGATCATTGGACTCAGGCATCACAACAAGCAAAATTTGAGCCTGTGACTCACTGGATGATTGGCTCTGAGCACAAGGTCTGTGGGCCATGCCGGGCCCAACTTGCTGCCATCGCCCAGACCTGTGCCCGCCCGCACACCACCGAAGAAAGCCCGAGGCCCTTCGAGGGCTGGGTCAACCTCAAAACCACTCTCCAAGAAGGAGGAGTCGGACTGCAACACCGGCAAGCCCAGCTCCTGCAATGGGTGGAGGATCATGAAGCCAGCCTTGCAGAGCACACGCTCCCCCACTGGACGGCATACCGCATGGTCAGCTGCATTGAGGAAGGTGTAGAGGATGTTGCAGGCCTGGTTGGAGCCATCGAACACATCTGTGCCTCCCCGCCGGACTCCGGCAGGAGAAGTTTCCGTTTTGCGGGGGCCAACATCACCTCCTACCGGGCGGAGATACAAGCATGGGTTTCCCAGCTTGATGTCGATGCTTTCGGGTTGCAAGAAACACACCTTGTTGCTGCCTCCACCCAGAATGTGATCACAGCCTTTGACCGCGGCAAGTGCCGAGTAGTGCCTTCCCCGGCCCTGGACACTGGCAAAGGTACCTCCGGGGGGCTCCTTCTCGGGGCCCGGAACCACGTCAACATGCGCAATGGGCCCCAGTTCTCGTTACAAGGCAAGGGCTTCCAATTTGGCATCTTCCGCTTCCCTGGGAGAGACCTTGCCATCGGCCACATTTACCTTGAGAGCGGCCCGGGACCGGGAGGGGGAACCAATCCCGCGATCCTTGCGGAGCTCCTCTCCACCCTGGACACGCTTTCCTGTCCCTGGGTCATCGCAGGCGACTGGAATTGCAGCTGGCAGGACCTCCACGAATCCTCCTTTGCCCGCCTCAGCAGGGCTGCTTTTGTCGTTCCTGGGGAGCCCACCACGACCCAGGGGGCGACGCTCGACTTTGCTGTTTGCTCGCGCCCACTCCAAGGCCTTCTCAAGGCCGAGGTGAGCTGGGAGGTCCCTTTCCGACCTCATGCCTTGGTACTCTACGAGTTCAAGGTTGATTCCATCGGGACTATGGTGCTCCAACCCAAGTCCTTTTCGAATCTCTGCCGTGACCAGGCAACTGAAGAGGCCAGACCGCCTGACCCCACCACAGTGAGGTTTCTGTTGGAACCGACTACCTCCTGTCGGGGGGACACTTCGTGGGGAGGATTTGTTAAGTGGCTTGAGGCTACTACTTGCTCCGACGGCATCCAGGGCAGGGGCTGGAAGGTACAAGCGGAGATAAAGCCTCTCATTCCGCCAACCTCGCCCAAATTCCCATGGTTCGGGCGTAAATCGGGCTATTGGGACCGACTCGATCTCTGGATGAAGCAGGCGGCAGAAAACCGCCTTCCCTCTAAGATTAGGGGAGTTGTGCTTCGCCACCTTCGCAGCCCTGAGGAGGATCTTGAGGTTGAGGGCCTGGACCTGCCAGCCTTAAGGCTTCGCCTCGCAACCCGGATCCAGGAAGGCACCGCCCCAACGCTGGCCGAGTTATCTGACCTGACCAAGGTGCAGAAGGCCGCGGCGGAGAGCAAAAGAGCATCCGACAACGAGCGGTACAAGACTTGGTTGGAAGAGGCCACCCAAGGAGGCATGAAAGGCCTCTATGGGGCCCTCAGAAAGTCCGAGGTTACCACGGTTCGGCCATACCGGGACCTTCCCCTTGAGATCCGCCACCATGAGAGAAGAGCCGATTGGCAAAGGCTCTGGGAGCCTTCCACCAACAACCAAGCTCTTGAGGACCCGGTTTTTCTCCAGCTGCTTGAGCTTGCTGTGGCACAGCACCAGGAGCTGGGTCCGGTGTCTGCAGAAGAGCTCCAGAAGGTGTTCAAAAAACTCTCCAGCAAAGCACCGGGACTAGATGGTCTTACCGCTCCCATGTTGAAGCGAGCTACGGTTTCCCAGATTACCGAGCTCGCGGAGCACCTTCGGGCCTGGGAGGCAACTGGACAGATGCCCTCTCAGGTCCTCACCACTGGGGTCACCATGCTCCCCAAGAAACCTGAGAGGGAAAGGCCAATCGGCCTCACCTCTTATGGCTACCGAATCTGGGCTCGCGCCAGGTGGCCGGTCTACGAGAAATGGGCCCAAGGCTATGCGGCCACGGCCCCGTGGGATGGTGCCCGACAGGGTGCCTCCTCCCTTGACATAGCTTTGGCGAGGCTTATCAGAGGGGAGGTCAACCATTTCCACAAGAAGAAGGGCATCACGCTACTTCTTGACCTGCGTGAATTCTACGAGCACGTTGACCTCGTCGGTTTGGTGCACTCTGCGATGGAGCACTCCTTCCCGCCTTTGGTGCTCCATCATTGCATCAAACTTTACACCCACTCCAGGTACATTTGCACCGAAGGAGTTCTGGCATCACCTGTCAAGCCGACTCGTGGGGTCATTGCTGGTTGCCCTTTCGCTCCGGGGCTATCCAAGCTTGTTCTCCATCCCGTCATGCAAACTCTTCACCAATGCCCCAGCATCCACAATTGCGACCTTTACATTGATGACTCGAGTTTCGATGTCGAAGATGCCTCTGCCACCACGGTTGTACACAAGGCTCTGGAGGTTTGGCGGCTTGTGAAGCAACAGTTCCGCCAGCGCAAGCTTCCCGTCTCCATTGCCAAATCGGCCTGGGTCTGCTCCAGCCGGGAGGTTGAAAAGAAGCTAGCCGCCCACCTTGGTGAAACTGATCCTCAAATCCAGTCCTGCTGGAGGGACCTGGGTGTTGACTCAGCTGGCGGCAAACGCAGGAGGGTATCCATTCACAGACAGCGTTTCCAGAAGGCGGGCTGTCGCTCACAAAAGCTCACCCACCTTCGCGTCAATGATGGGGCGCGCAAGAAGGCGGCCAAGGCGGGAGTGGAGGCTGCGGCTGTGTATGGCCACCAAGCTGTTGGGCTGGCCCCAAAGCGATTGAAATTTCTCCGCCAGCTCACTGCGCTGCATAATGGCCGGCTCACCAATGGAGCCACGGAGGTCGTCCTCGATCTCCTTTGCACCACCAAGCCTGATCCCTCGGGGCTGTTGGTGGAGCAGCACTTCCGGAGCTTTGTCACTCTGGTCAGCAATTGGCCCCAGGCCCTCAAACCGTCTCTTGAGAGCGCGTTTGAAGGAATGTCCCAGAGGGTCTCAACACACAAGGAACCGTGGCGGATCGCAGCCGGGCCGCTGGGTGCCACCTTGTGTTACCTCAAGGAGCTTGGCTGGACGGCCCTGTCCCTTCTACGGTGGGAGATTGCAACCCAGCCCTACGACCTCGAAAACCCCCTGCAGCTTGAGCAGGTGCTGCGCCTTTTGCGAAAATACTGGGCTCAAAAAAGGCTCCAAGCCATTAGCCAGCTTGAAGGCAGTGCCTCCTTAGCGGCAGGGGTGGACTGGACGGTCGGAAAGAAGCTGCTTCGCAAGCTTCCGCCGTTACAGAAAAAGAGCCTTCAAGCAGTCTGGCAAGGAGCCCTCCGATGTGGGAAAAAGGCCTGGTGCACTAGGTGCAATGCACCTGCCACCCAGCAGCACCTCCTCTGGGATTGTCAATGGTGGCATAACCATGACACTGTTCCCGAGCCGGTGGAACAAGCCCTTGCCAGGGTTGACCAGGCTGTCAAGGTGCGTGGCTTGGTCCCCTCGGACCAGCCCGTCTCCTCGGATCATCCCTTAGTACTGAAGGGACTCTGGGAGGAAGGCCTCATCCTGGAAGACCCTGACATCTTCTATGCCACGGACGGTTCGCCTGGATCCACCAATGATCCTCGCGCCTGGAAGCTCACTTGGGCAGCCATCGCTTTTAAACTCAAGCCAGGGGGCATCGAGGTTGTAGCCTCGGCGGCAGGCCCCGTCCCGGCCGAACAGTCTGTTTTCCGTGCGGAGGCCTGTGCCCTCCTCTTTCTCGTGGAACACACGGCTGGTGACATTGATGTCACGATGGATGCCAAGAGCGTCAAGACTCGTGTGGAAAGGCGCTCCCTCGGCCGCACCTCGCTGGACCTGGTTTACCCAGTCCGAGCACAGGCTGAGCGTCTCCTTCATTGGATTCGCAGCCACAAGTCCCTTGAATCTCACTGCCAAACCTTCGGCAGCCAATCCGCCTGGAGATGGCATGCCAACCAGGCCGTTGACAAACTCGCTGGTGACCATGCGAACCAGTCCCGCGACCGGACTTGGGAGGGTCGGCTTGAAGCAAGAGATGCTGATGCCAAAGTGGTCCTTGGTTTCCTGGCGGCCCGTGTGGCAACTCTTTTCGAGTACGACCAGGACCAGGGCCCTCAGGTCCAATTCGAAGGAGAGGCCACTTCTCAGAACCGCAAAGGCCGGGCTGTGGGTTTCAAAAGGAAAGGCAGGGTCATCCGGCCCGAGCCGGCCAAAACCCCTAGTCAGAGTAGCAAACCCAACAAGAGGGACCTCCTGAGGGATGCCGTCTTGAATCCCCAGCTTGGGCACACCTGGAAGTGGACCTCCGAGCACCAAAATGGGGCACGCATCAGCTGTACTACCTGCAAGCTAGGTGCCCAACAGATCTCTCCCGAAAAACAACTTCGGAGGATATTGGCCCAGCCCTGTGTGGGGCACTGCTCTCAAGAGATTTTCCTCAGTTTTTGGGAGTGCCACCCGACCCACCGCATGGTCTTCGAAGGTACTCTTTGGAGGTGCTCAGGGTGCAAAAGGACTCACAAACCTGGGTCTGAAACCCTGATCCACTACCTTCTCGACACCTGCAAGGCCAAACCCAGCACTACCGGGACGAAATCCAAAAAGGAGCCGCCTCCGGGATCAAGGGGCCTCGCCTCCCTCTTCCCCTCAGCAAAGGCCAGATCCGAGTCAGCCCCCGCCCTTTCTAGGGCAGTTGGTGGAGCTGACCCAGCACCCTGCAACCAACCAGCCCCTTTGGCCAAGGCTCCGGGCACTGGAGGCGGTCACCGGGTCTCTGGTGCTACCAGACCCTTGGCCAAATCTGTGCCCAAGCTGGCTGTGCAAGCAAGCCATGAGGCCACCCGGCTCCCGGCCCGGCGGTAGGTCAGGAGGGCGGTTCCAAGGGTTCCCAACCCGAACTGCCGAGCACGGCAAGGGTGGCAAAAAGCACAGGTCGAAGAGCTCAAAGGAGTCCTCCCAACGCCGGGCGGGGAAAAAACAACGGGCTGCAGGGCAGTACTACAGGTGGTCGCGTCCCCTGCCGTCGGAGCACGAGCAGCCCCGTGACACCCCGCCCCCACCGGCGCCCAAGCGCAGCGGAGGGCGAAAGGAGGAGGATGAGAAAAGTGCTGCTTCGGCTCCTACTCTTCCTCCCGCTCCAGGTCACCGGGCAAAGGGACAGCCGGCCAAAACGGGCAAGGAGAAGCCTTCAAAGGCCCCGGCCCCGGCAGCTGGCCCAAAAATGGCCGTAAAGTCCAAAGCCAAGCCCTCTGCTGAGGGTGAGGTGGCATCGGACTCTCCCGAGCCTGTGGATGTCTCTGCTCCCTCGAGCTCCTTGGCCGGGGTTCCCCCGCCTGGAGTGAAACTCACGCCGGCGGGCCAAGGAAAAGGACTCCCCGGCCTCTGCTGAGGATGAGAAGGGATCCCCGGCCGGTTCCATGGCTGCCAAGGAAGAATCATCCGATTCTTGCTACGAGCCCATCCGGTTGCGCCCGGCTCCCCTCTCCAGCCCTGCGAGGAGGGCGCTACCTGTGCCGGATCTGGGGGTGAATATGCAGTTCACTATCCAGCTGAAGGATGCCTCCAAGGAGGCGTGCTCAGGGCGCTACCTGCACGCTGCGTCTCTGGTGTATTTTGCGCACCAGGACCGCCAAGGCGCGGAGCCGGGCTCCCCGCAAAAGGTGGCCACGGCCCTGGAAGTGCTTGGCTTAGGGGGCTCTCGAGTGGTTTTCCGCTCGCCTTCCAACCCGACCAAGTGCTGGAAGCTCTCTAAGAGGTCTCAGGAGGCAGAGCGTGACCTTTTCAAGGTCACCGGCCCCTGGACCCCGCGGCACACCAGGGCTTTGGGTGTGCACCGTGTTGTCGAGGAGGGCAAGGGTGGCACCTCCTTCTTCGCGTCTCTTTTGGAGACGGAACTTGTGGATCCTCTCCCCATGGTCAACCCACCGCTGATCTTCCAGATCTGCCTAACTGTGTGCCAAGCGGCGAAGTTTGCAAACGTCCGTGACCTAGGACGGAAAAATATGGGCAGCAGGTCCATGCCTCAGGGCATGGGAGACCCGCCCAGGTATGAAGTCCTGCTGCTGGACGCCAACGACTGGGAGGAGTACGGTTCCCAAACCACCCCCCACTGGCCAAACAAGCGTCGGGCCCAGGGACTTTGGTCCACTGTGAGCTCTTTCTCACCGGAACTGCTGGAGCCGTTGCAGCAACTGGTGAAGCAGCACCAAGCCGACCTCCAGGCCCTGCATGACCCAACCTCCAGACGTGGGAGCTCCACCCGCTGGAACAATTCCAGCAGGGGAAGCTCCGAAAGGCCAGAATGTTAAACATTCCACCTGTGACAGTACACCTGCAGGAACTACAGTGCTAATGCATAGGAACAGCCGACACGCATACGCGACGTGGCAGGCTCGAGACCCCAGGACACACCGTGCCCAGGAACAAAAGTGTCCGACAGTCTGTGTGGGTAGGAACCCTTAGTGAAGCCCGTTCTTTAACATGGTAGCGGAGCTGCCTCCAGGAACCTCCTTGGCAGCGATGATGCTACTCGTAGCAGTAGGAACAATGCTGCTCGCCGCCATGGCAGTTTGCCTCGTTGCTGGATGGAAGCAGATGCGCGCGAATGAACAGGTGACCAAGAAGAAAGAGACAGTACTGGTCATGCCCACGCTCAGGATCGCAGTTCGCTCAGGAACAAGATACCATCGTCGAGGTTGTGGACACCTTCGGAACCACAACGTGGCAGAAGGAAACGCTCGAGACTTCGAAGCGTGCTCAGATTGCTTTCCCGACCGAGTGTTGGTGGAAGAGAAGGAATACAGGAACATGAAGTGCTACGGTCTGGCAGCATGCGTCGTGCTGTTGGTTGGTTTTTCACTGGGAAGCCTCGCAACGCTTTGCGGGATGACCTTGGTCCCAGGAACAAGAAGTTTGGTTGTGACACCGTGGCAGGCCCTTGGCAAGGAAAGAACCAAGGATGAACTTGCCCTTGGAACCAGCGTGTACTCCAAGGATGCGAGCCGTGGGAGAAAGGAACTCATGTATGTGGAGAGCGACGAAAGCGAACTCATAGCCGTGTGGACGAGCAGAGCAAGGAAGCCCAATACGCACCCTACAAGCTACAGGAACTACGACGTGTACGGCGAGTACTACCAGGAAGGCTACAACGTGTGCAGCGTGAACCCCGACGGCACCAACGTGAACACGATCAGGAACACGAACGCGTACACGATCAAGGACTATGTGCAGATCGGAAAAGCAATGGTACCGTACACCCTTTTGTGTGCGAGTCAAGTGATGCATGAGCTCTACAGCGTCGTTAGCGTGATCGGCGAGTACTACACGGAAGAGAACAGGAACGGCGACCGGAACACCGAGAACCAGGAGAGTGAGAGCCTTGAGTCAGGCTACGCCCCTAGGTACCTAGTAAAACAACAGCGAGAAGTACTGAGAAAATTTGTACAGGAACATGTTCAGAGTTTCGTAGAAAAGCTAGCAGAAGTAGGAAAGAAGTTTCACGACGTCGTGCATGTGATAGTTCAGGAAGTCATTTCCAACAGAGTTGTATTTCAAGGAATTCGCATAGCAGTGTTCTTAGGAACTCCAGTGGGACTGATTACTTGGATCACCCTGTCGTACTATTCTAGTTTGTTTTTCACAAGAGCAAGCAGAAGCTCAAAGCACCAAAGGAAAACAAGAGGAGAAAGGAGAGCACAAGCAGTGAACAAGAAGCAGTGCAAGTCATTACTTCTAGCAGCACTAGTGTACAGCAACCTTGAAGCAGCAAAAGGAATGGAGGATGCATTGAAGACACTTGCAGAGATCAATGCACAGACTTTACAAGGAATACAAACACTAGCAGAGGAGATCAGGAACTCAGCAGCTTCAGGAAGCCAAAGAGAAGCAGGACTTACACAAGCGTTTCAGGAAACACTCACAGCAGTGCAGGAACAACAGAAAGCTGCACAGACAGCGTTGGCAGACGCCCACACGAACGCAGCAACAACACTTGAGGAGATAGGAGCATCTCTGGAGAAGGCAGTAAAGGAACAAAGAAAGCCTGGAGAAGTGGAGTTGCACAAGCTAATCAAAAGCCCTGAAGCGTTTTCCCCAGGAACATGGCAAGAAGAGAAGAGTGGCTGGACAGAGTTCAGGAACAGGATGCGGATCTGGCTTGGAGCAGTAGATTCCAACATGGTGAAGATCATGGACATCGTCGAAAGGAACCTTAGAGACGATAAGATGATAAAGATGAGTGAGATGTCTGGAGAAGCAAAGGAAGCTAGCCGCCGCCTGTACAGTGTTCTCTGTTCATATACCAAAGGAAGGCCTTACCGTGTTGTAAAGCATGTAGGAGAGGAAAACGGTATGGAAGCCTACCGTATGTTGATGAAGGAATATCAACCAACGAATCGTGCAAGATCGTTGGAACTGTTTCACAACATCCTCAACTATAGGTTTGCTCACAACAAAGGAATTGCTGAGAACATCCTCGAATATGAGGAACACATTGAGAAGTACGAGAAGGCGACAGGAGAAAAGGTACAAGAGAACTTGAAAGTTTCTACTCTTATTCAAGGAATGAAGCCTGATGTTAAAAGGCACCTGTTGCTCAACCTTGACGAGAAGACCCAGTACACCGCTCTTCGTCAGTACCTTGTGAACTACGAGTCAACTGAACGTTGGACTAACTCTTTGTCAGCCCAGCAAGGAACACCTCACCGAACCACGACAGACTTGATCGACAAAGGTGATGACCATGGTGGTCTTGCAGCAATGGACATCAATCAAGCATGGTACAAAGGTAGGAAAGGCTATGGCAAAGGTTATGTTCATAACAAAGGCAAAGGCAAAGGTAAAGGCAAGAAAGGTGGAAAGGATTTCGGAAAAGGATTCGGATTTGACGGTAAAGGCAAAGGTAAAGGAAAAGGTTTTGGAGGTTTTGGCAAAGGCAGAGGTCGAGGCAATTGGAAAGGTCGAGGTAGAGGATTCAGAGGTTACAAAGGAACTAGAAGACAATTGGCCCGAAAGCATCATCAGCGAAGAGTGTGGGGCTATGTTATAGATCCAGTGTGTAGGATCGTCGACAGATACAGTCAAGAGTCATGGAGTCCATGAGTCATGAGTCATAAAGTCATAGAGTTACAGTGAGATAGCGTCATAGAGTCATAGTGAGATCAAGTCACAGAGTCATGGAGTCATCTATGTAGCATGCACTTGACTCGATGTAGTTCACTCTATGCTCTATGTGTGGGAACGCTTAATCGAGATCCCCGTAGCGTGGTGGCTCATAGCCTGACCTGGACCTCGAGATGCAGATACAGTCAAGAGTCATGGAGTCCATGAGTCATGAGTCATAAAGTCATAGAGTTACAGTGAGATAGCGTCATAGAGTCATAGTGAGATCAAGTCCCGAGTCATGGAGTCATCTATGTACCATGCACTTGACTCGATGTAGTTCACTCTATGCTCTATGTGTGGGAACGCTTAATCGAGATCCCCGTAGCGTGGGGGCTCATAGCCCGACCTGGACCTCGAGATGCAGATACAGTCAAGAGTCATGGAGTCTATGAGTCATGAGTCATAAAGTCATAGAGTTACAGGGAGATAGCGTCATAGAGTCATAGTGAGATCAACTCGCAGAGTCATGGAGTCATCTATGTACCATGCACTTGACTCGATGTAGTTCACTCTATGCTCTATGTGTGGGAACGCTCAATCGAGATCCCCATAGCGTGAGGGCTCATAGCCCGACCTGGACCTCGAGAGGCACATACAGTCAAGAGTCATGGAGTCCATGAGTCATGAGTCATAAAGTCATAGAGTTACAGTGAGATAGCGTCATAGAGTCATAGTGAGATCAAGTCACGAGTCATGGAGTCATCTATGTACCATGCACTTGACTCGATGTAGTTCACTCTATGCTCTATGTGTGGGAACGCTTAATCGAGATCCCCGTAGCGTGGGGGCTCATAGCCCGACCTGGACCTCGAGATGCAGATACAGTCAAGAGTCATGGAGTCTATGAGTCATGAGTCATAAAGTCATAGAGTTACAGTGAGATAGCGTCATAGAGTCATAGTGGGATCAAGTCGCAGAGTCATGGAGTCATCTATGTACCATGCACTTGACTCGATGTAGTTCACTCTATGCTTTATCCAATCCCTGTGAAGGGTTCCGCGAGCACCGCAAAATGTGTAACTTCACCTCGCGTTCGAGCGCTCGACCACGCCAATCCCTGTGAAGGGTTGCCAAATTCATCTCAATGCACATAAACAAATGCAACTTTACCTAGCGTTCGAACACTCGACCACGCCAATCCCTGTGAGGGGTTGCAAAATTCATTTCAATGCACATCAAAAAATGCAACTTTACCTAGCGTTCGAACACTCGACCACGCCAATCCCTGTGAAGGGTTGCAAAATTCATCTCAATGCACATAAAAAATTGCAACTTTACCTCGCGTTCGAACACTCGACCACGCCAATCCCTGTGAAGGGTTGCAAAATTCATTTCAATGCACATCAAAAAATGCAACTTTACTTAGCGTTCGTGCATTCGACCATGCCAATCCCTGTGAAGGGTTGCGAAATGCCAATCCCTGTGAAGGGTTGCAAAATGCAGTTGAGCTGCGCCCAAACCCTGTGAAGGGTTGCGCGGCGCCCGCAAAATGTGTAACTTTACCTCGCGTTTGAACACCCGAGGAGGCGAATCCCTGTGAAGGGTTCACGGCGCCCGAAAAATTTGTAACTTTACCTCGCGTTTGAACGCCCGAGGAGGCGAATCCCTGTGAAGGGTTCACCCGCGCGCCTAAAATGTGTAACTTTACCTCGCGTTTGAACGCCCGAGAGTTCCAATCCCTGTGAAGGGTTGCGCCGGGCGCCTAAAATGTGTAACTTTACCTCGCGTTTGAACGCCCGAGGCAGCGAATCCATGGGAAGGGTTGCGCGGTGCGCCTAAAATGTGTCACTTTACCTAGCGTTTGAACGCCCGAGGCAGCGAATCCCTGGGAAGGGTTGCATTCCCGATGGACGACAACGGTGCCACCCCTGGCTTTAGAAGAGAGAATTAGATACCGAGATGTAGAGAGTAAGTCATAGAGGCATAGAGTCAAGTAAGTAAGTAAGTAAGTAAGTATAAGTAAGTATAGAGATAGCATAACATAGAGTCCAGTGTCAAGTGTCAAGTAAGTAAGTAAGTAGAGTGAAGTAAGTAAGTAGAGTGAAGTAAGTAAGTAAGTAAGTCGTAAGCATAACATAGAGTCAAGTATCAAGTGTAGAGTCAAGTATCACATAGAGTCAAGTGTCAAGTGTAGAGAGTCAGTCATAGAGGTCAAGTAAGTAAGTAAGTATCAAGTGTAGAGTCAAGTATCAAGTGTAGAGTGAAGTAAAGTATGGAGTCAAGTAAGTTGATTCTATGTCTGTCATCTATGTACTCAGCTGCGGCGTTCCACACGGAAGAACCCTTCGCGATGCTTTCGGGAAAAGGCAAAGGTCGAGGAAAAGGTTTCTACAGGCACAAAGGAAAAGGTAAAGGAAAAGCCCAAGCAGCTACAGGAGTTTGTCACTACTGTCACAAGTACGGACACTTTGAAGCACAGTGCAGACAGAAGCAGCGTGACATGGGTTACCAAGCGAGGAACGTAGACCTAGAGAACCAGAGTGAACAGGCAAGCACTACAGGTACCTCTACTCAGGCCCCTTCTTCCAGCAACAAGACCTCAACAAGCCAAAGCCAAACAAGCCAAGGAACACAAAGACCAGTGATTAGGATGGTCTCCATGTATCACATGGGAGACGAGCCCACAAGCTTTCCGGAGGAATTCGAGATGAGTGAAGATTCAGAGGAAATTGAGATTGATTACTTCGGAAGAGTCTTGCGGGTTGTTGGTGAAGAAGTTCAGGAAGAGAGGAGTGAAGCAGAAGAGTACTGGATTGGTGATGAAGATGATGAGTTTCAGGACTGTGATGAGGTGAGTGATGATGCATGGTGGCAGTGGCATGTAGGAGGAACCCCAGTAGGAATTCAAGATCGTGGATACTACTACGAATGCCCCAACGGATGTCATGAAACACCTTGGCACCCGAACATGCAGGAATGCGAGTATGGATGTCACCATCCTCCCAGAAGGAGCAGAGTTGAAAGAACAGCACCTTCAGGAACAAACGCCAGGTTTGTCCGTGCAGCAAGGAACTCAAGGACTCGAGAGATCGAGGTAGTGCTGGATTCTGGAGCCGACATCTCGTTGGCACCAATGTGGATGAAGAAGTACGGAAGGAAAGCGCCCAACACTACTAAGGTGGTTTTGCGAGACGCACAAGGATCTCGTATCAAGGTTTCAGACCAAAGGATCATTGAGGTTGAATTTCGAGACGTTCAAGGAAATATCGTGAAGGTTGAAGAAGTGTTCTTGATTTCATCAGTTGTGCACCCTCTTTTGGCAGTAGGTAAACTGTTGAAGAAAGGTTGGGAGTTCAGAGATGGAACGACTACAGGCACTTTCCTCACAGAAGGAACAACCAAGATCGCGGTGAACTACAACAACAACTCACTTACAACAAAAGCCTTTGTGAGAGCAGTCAACTGGGAAGCAGAAGCTAGACCTATCCCCATATACTTGTGTGAGAACCTGAAGGAACTCATTGAAGAGCAACGTGTTGGTTGGACCAACTGGAGAGACCCTTACCAAGTCCACTACAGCCTAGGAACTTCAGAGCACGTTGATACCTACTTGATGTTTCCACCAGGAAAGTTTGCTTACCGAGCAGTACTTATTGAGGACGACGATCAGTGGTTTCTGTTGCACCACAGCATCATGTTCGAGGAACTTGAAGAACCATTTGGGACAATCTTTGACGGCAGCAAAGAGTATCGAACACTGACGCTAGTATCGCTCAAGGAATTTCCATTGACCCTCATAGGTACACCTAAGGAAGATGAAGATCGCAAGATGTTCGAAGAGTACACTGAGGATGCATGGTCAATCAGCATGGATGGTACTACACTCACCAGGTACCACAACTCGTTGAGAAAGACGTTGTTCAATCCTCGAGATACCAATGACATTCCAGTAGATATTGGAAATCTCAAACCAGACAGATACACCCATGGAGAAGAACCGATCAACAAGGATTTCTTTGAAGATGATAAGTTCTGGACTTTGGATGAGCCTCACAGAGACCCAGAACCACTAGGAGGTCTATCCTGGACAGGACGCAGTGTATTTGAACTCATTGAACCAGTGAACCCCAAGGCCAGGAAACCAAAACAGAAGGTTCACCAACTGGACACGATTCCAGAACAAGAAGAAGAAGAACAGGAAGAGACCTCAGAGGCCCAAGCACCAGCGCACAGGCACGAACTTGCAGGAGAACTGTCATTTACCTTCAACGGTCATGAGTACAACCAGCAGAACAGCCTCAAGGCCCTGAAAGAACTTTGCAAGGAACTTGGAGTTTCAAAGTTTGGATCTAAGCAGGACATTCTGAGAAGACTCAGCAGGTCAGTCATGGAAGCAGAAAGGCACATGGAGCTTACTTCAGCCCAGAAGAAGTACAAGGAGTACATTGAGGCAGAACCCCTTAAGGTACCGAAGCAGCCGAAGCCAGAGGAAGTTGCAGTACATAATCTCACACACTTGCCTTACGCATCGTGGTGTCCTACGTGCGTAGCGTGTAAAGGAAAAGAGTCTCCACATCTTCGTGAGAACCCAGAGAAGGAAAGATCTTCGAGACCAACTTTCTGCATGGATTTCTGTTTCACAGGAACAAGCCATGATGAGGCACCAGCAGCAGTTAGTCTTGTGTGTGTTGATTCTTGGAGTAGGAACATGGTCTGTATCCCTACAGCATCTAAAGGAAAAGATCTTGTAGAGCACCTTTGCGAAGGAGTCACCTACTTGAGCACTCAGCTAGGATATGGAGCCATCAACTTGAAGGCCGACAACGAAGGAACGATGATGAAGCTGAAGCAGGTAATCCAGAAGCAACGAGCAGCCTTAGGTCTAGGAACAATCTTGCAGGACGCAGTCAGTGGCCAGAAGGAAACCAACGGCATGGCAGAGAGAGCAATTCAAACCATTAGGCGACAAGGAACTACCTTGATTAGGCACCTGGAACACAAAACAGGAACCTGTATTGCTCACCCCCATCCAATCTTCAGTTGGGCTTTCAGGCATGCAGCGTGGACCTTGAACAGGTACCATCGCCATACAGGTACAGGAATGACACCATATGAATGGATGGCTGGACGACCCTACGAGGGCCAGCTTGCAGAATTTGGTGAATCACTTTTGGTTTTGACCAATCGCTCAGGAACACGTTCCAATAGGAAAGGCGACCCTATTTGGTTGAGAGGAGTGTTCTTAGGAAAAACAGACAACAACCTCTTCATTACATGGCACATGGACGGCATCAAGACAAGCCGTAGCGCAAAACGCTGTTTGGAACATTTCGATATCAAAGGAATAAGCAGCGTAGGAATTCATACTTGGGAAGTCAAGCACACTACCCTTACGACAAGGAACATCCCAAGGAAGAACATCCCAGGACCACTTGCAGAGGCACCACCGATCATGGATGGACCCGGAACTAAGGAACAGATTGCTCAGGAATCGGCACCTTCGGCGCCATCAGGACCGGTTGTCATCCAAGGCGGGGACCCTGCAGGAAAACCAGGACCTACTAGGTCAACGTACTTAGAGAACAAGCTGCTTGGGTCCTACCAAAAGTGTGTTCGTGAGCCTTGAGGGGGGGTGGGGGGGGGAAAAACAGTACAGCTCTGAACGCTTGAATCCTTGCGGACATGTGATTGACGATTTCACTTGAGCTTGATTTTACCTCGACTTGATTTTAGATTGAGTGCTTGATCGCTGTACAGTGTGAATGAGATCCTTGCATGGCAAAGTTACGACTCAAGTACTTTTGTGAGTGGGTGGGCGTAGGGGACCTCCGGCGCTATGGCTCACCTTGAGTGAATTCCGGCAATGGGCTCGGAGTGGCAGCAGATTCGAGAAATCAACCCTGTTTTCTGCGAGCGTGTTTCGAAGGTCTTCTTTCATATTGGAAACTTTTGCTTGGCTGCTGCAACGCTGGAGGATGTACAGGCAATCGTGGATGATACGATGAGTGATGTTCTTAAGATTGAGGATCGTGTGGCGCTTACAGAATCAGTGCATAAGTGGTGCGCGCTTCATCAGGGGACAGTGGATAGGACTGTTCGTGAGATCGGGCAGAATGTCCGACGGGGGCCGTATATCCGTCGTGGGCCCAGTGTGACGGCCGCCGATATGTATGAGGGGCTTTTGGCTTCTGATCCTGTGCTGGGTTTGGCTGCTCTTGAGAAGAAGTTAAAGCTTCGCAAAGCTGGAACAGGGGCGCGTGTGGAAGCAGAGGACTTGTGCAGGCGCCGCTGGGGTCTCAAGCTCGCGGGCTACATCCAGGAGGCAGCTCTGCCAGCATCTGAGAGAATTGGGTCGTTGGCTGATGCGGAGTCGGCCTGGCTTCGGGCTTTCGGTAGCAGGCGCGGTAAGACCTTGAAGAATCGGGCTCGCACGTGGGAGCCGGTGCGTGAGTGGATGATTCAGGCGACCGGGAAACCTTGGCCAGGAGACGCCTCGCTGTTGCTGCAGTACTTCGAGGAAAGGCATCAGGTCAGGCCGATGGGGAAGACTGTTCCGCAGAGTATCTTGTCAAGCCTTGGTTTGCTGGAGCTGGTTGGGCAGAGGCTTTCTGCAGATAGGCTATCGGAGGATCCTTTACTTGTGGAGTCTGTGAAGGCATGGACGATGCAATTGGAGACAGGTGCCGAGCCGGTTAAGCAGGCGGAGCTCCTTACGGTGGCAATGGTGCTCTCGGCTGAGATTCTGCTTGTGAAGGTCGGGACACCCCCTGGGCTGCGCTTCGGATGCTTCATTTTCTTGCTTATGTGTTGGGGAACGCTGCGTTGTGACGATATACAGGGGATCGATCCTTCGAGTGTTACACTGTCACAGCTTGGAATGAAATTTGTTCTTTCCCGGACCAAGACCTCTGGACCTGGGAAAAGGATCGGGCAGCTGCACGGATACCTTGTGAGGAGCATAAGCCTTTCTGGATATGACTGGATTGCGCATTCATGCAAACTCTTGATGAGCGATGATTTCAAGTTTGCTCGGGATTTCCTGTGTCCTGACATTGGAGAGTCGTGGGAAGTCAAATCGAGGGAGTATGTTGGCGCAGAGGGCGTCGCCAACCTTGTGCGACGTGTGATCCTGGAGTTGCCGGTCCCGGGGAAGAAGGATGGAGTCTGGGGACTGAGCAAGACAGCGAAGCTGGTTCCGAAGGAGCTGGCGCTCTTCTGGTCCGGGCACTCGCCGAGGCATTTCCTTCCATCCTTGGCGGCGGCAATTGGGATCGATGAAAAGAAGCGCGACTTCCTCGGACGTTGGGCGGCTGCCCGGCAGGGGTCAACCGCTTATGTGCTGACGGCCAGACAAATTATACAGCAGGTTCAGGCTGAGGTTTGCGAGACACTCTTGACTGGGAAGAACCAGCCCGGCTACATCGAGGAGGAGCTGCTTCTTCGTTTAAAGGCGTTTGCGGAGCAGCATGGAGTTTCTAACGGGGCTGTTGCACGCCACAATGTCATGGTGTGGTGTGAACTCAACTTGTGCTGGAGTCTTCAAGGAAAGTTTCCGGCAATTGCAGTTGACCCTTGAAGCCATCAGCAAGCGGTGGCCGAGCCACCGAAGGACCAGCCGGCGCCCTCTCCGGAAGATGCAGATGCGCCGTACTTTGTAGTTGTGAGTCGTAGTGGGCACAGACGTCTTCACATGTCACGCACTTGTGCTGTAAGGCAGGAGCGTTGCTTGGAGACCATTCCTTTGTACAGCATCACTCAGGATTCTGCAGATGCAATCTGTAAGTTATGCAGGCCCCGGCTACAGGAGCAAGGGGCGATCAGCAGTGAGTCCGCATCCTCAGATGCAGTGGAGCCGCCGTGACACATGAGGGGTGTGAAAATTTCGTCGCACCAGTGGCTTGTCGCGTGAGTCAGAGCAGGAAGTACTTCAGTTGTGCCACGTCCCGTGAGTGTCAGAGTGGGACAATGCATCAGATTGAGAAGAGCCGCAGTCACGTCAGTATCAGGTGCAGTGCATTGGCCTGTCTTTCACGTCTTAACGTTGTGCAAATTGAGGTGAGCTGATCAGACTCTTCAGACACTGTGGCATTTCTTCACATAGTGTGTTCGAGGGTTGATTGCAGTGAGTTCCAGACATGGATTTGCCGGCTGGAGTGAGTGAGGAAGCGGCTTCGAAGTTCTTGTCCACTGAAGTCGACGCTGAACTTGCACACATCCTTCAGGAAGCTGGAGTCCCGCTTGGATTGCAGTACAAACTCACACAGTCTTTCAAGACTGTGAGGCGGTTTCAGTCTTATGAGGACACCCGTGCAGGGATACGAGATGCCTTGAAGAACGATTTCGCTCTGGAGCCCACTACTCTTGACAAGCGTGCTGGGATCTCAGCTGTGATTAGTGCTTGGGAGGCATGTCAACAGTTTGCCGCGAAAGAGCAGGAGCTTCGCGCGGAAGCGCGCGTGTTGGGGGTTTCAAGGCCCGTCACACAGACAGATCGGAGTGCGATGAGAGCCGCCTTCGAGGCGACCCACGGCAGGCTTGAAGATGCACATGAGCCGTCCGAGGATTACATTTCATGCAAGATGGAGGAGCTTGAGGCTCATGAGCCGACGGCTTCGCCGCTGTCCGAGGTTACATCACGCAAGACTGTGAAGACTCAGGGGATCCAGACTGCAGTCGATTCTTCAGGCCATGTTCGCATCGTGCGGACGAAGGTCAAGGGATCATTGCCTCAGGGCACTGAAGAATTGCGCACGGTGATGCGTGTTGAGTGCAACCTGTGGTGCTTCTTGGCGACTAAGTATCGCAACCGTGAGCTCTTGCGAGGCATGGACCCCGAGTGCTGGAATCAGTATGTTGCATTTCTGCTGTCTGACAAGGTTTACCTTATGAAGGTGCCGATGGCAGGTGGCAAGGGCAATCAGACCGAACATGTACCATTGCGGCCCCCTTGGTCAGTGTTGCTGAATTTCGAGTTCGAGCTGCGAAAGGAGGCAATCAAACGGGCTGTACAGGGCAATCGGCCTTTGAAGGACACACTCGTGGAGGTGACGTCCGATGCTCAGCTCAAGGAGCAGTATTTTACATCGCCTATTGCCCTTCAGCAGGTTGCACCTCCACCGCGGCCAGATCCTTTCTGGCCACAGCGACGGTTCCGACAGTGGGACAATGATTGGTCCGAGAGCCCGGCCAAGTGGCAGCGAACAGGCAAAGGACGTGGCCATGGAAAGGGCAAGCACGGCAAGGGGGGCAAGGCCAACCGCGATGATTCTAAGGGTGATGGCAAGGGCCTCGGCGGCGGCAAGGGCAAGAGTGATCATGCGCTCTGGACACACACGCCGGATGGACGTCAGATTTGTTTTCCGTTTAACGCCCAGGGCTGTGATGGCAGTTGCGGTCGAGTTCATGTTTGTCGCGTCCGAGGATGCATGCAGTCCCATCCGATGTGGCAGCATTTTCAGAGCTTGGCAGCAAAGGCGGCAGCACCAACCGCGCAGGCCGCCAACTGACGTTCTAAGCTCACCGTGCTGTATCTTTTCGCTGGGCAGGCACGGGAAGGCGATATCAGATCACACTTACAGCAGCTCTGCACGTCGCGGGGACTGGATTTAATTTTGCATGAGTTTGATTTGCTGCGAGGTCCTGAACAGGATCTATCGTCGCACAGGCTTTGGGAGCGTCTCTTCAAGGACATTTCATCTGGAGCCTACGATATCCTTATTTTGAGCCCGCCTTGTTCCACTTTTTCGCGGGCTAGGCATCGTTTTGCGGGGGCATTTGGCCCACGCCCACTTCGTTCACATGGCCATCTGCTGGGTTTTCCTTGGTTGCATGATTCAGATCGCACAAAAGTTGAGCTGGCAAATTTCTTCGTGCAACAATCTTTTGAGGCCATCCGTTCACAGAGGCAGCAGGGCTTGTACTTCATTTTGGAGCACCCTGAGGATCTGGGCCGTGTACCATCTGGTGAGAGGCCTGCTTCCATCTGGTCTTTTGATGAGGTTCGTCAGATGTGCGCTGGAGGCGATGTCAGTTGCTGGGCATTGCATCAATGCCTTTTCGGGGCTATGTCATGCAAACCCACCCGCTTGTTATCCAATTTGCCCGGAGCGTTGAACTTTGGGATACAGATGCCACGTTTCAATGATGACGGGGAGTACGTGGGGCCGCTCTTGCGCTGCCCGCATTCACATGCAGATCGAGCCTGCGGTTTTCAGGATGGCACTTGGAAATCGGCTGCCACGGCGGCTTACCCTTCGGAGTTCGCTGCTTTCTTCGCCCGTCTGTCTCTGAGTGTGGTGCCTGAGCTGAGGGCTGTGGCTGACTCCGACCTGATCTCGGCCAACATCCCTTCTTCCGCCGAAGCCTTTGCCACAGAGTGCATCACACACGGTTCTTTCGATCGTGCTTCGGTTCAGATTCTTTTCGACCTGCTTCCTAAGACTCGGCCTCATAAGATCACAGGCAGTGCAGAACCTGGTACCGCTTTCTTTGGAGGCACTGTGCACCAGGAGGGTCTCACCGCACCGCGGTCCACTTGTTTTACATTCCCCGAGTCCATGCGTGTGATCAATGCTTTTCTTCACTCCGTGGACCCGCACCACCGTTACGCGGCTTTTGTTCTCACAAAGAACGTTTCCAGTGAGGTTCATCGTGATCCGCGGAACGCGGCTGTGCCCAACTTGATTGTGGCAATTTCCTCCTTTTCTGATGGTGGCATTTGGATACAGGATGACTCAGGTACCCAGGTGCGATCCTTTCACGGCTCGCCCGTCACAGGCACTGTGCACTCCTTACAAGACGGACCCGTCTACCTTGATGCCCGTGGACGCTTGCATGCTACACAGCCTTGGGTTGGGGATCGTCTCATCGCCATTGCATACACTCCTCAGAACGTGCACCTGCTCTCGGCTGACGATTCGGCTTTTCTGGCTTCATTGGGCTTTCCTGTCTTGGATTCCTCTCCTGCGGGGGGGGAGGCACCAGCGGAATCCTTCGTTTCCTCAGGCAACTTCACCTTGGCTGCAGCAGTGCCGACGATAGACAACTCAGGCACTGGAGATGCTCAGGAGGTCGTGGTGGTCGATCACGAGGAGTCGGCCAGGGAAGCTTTTGATCCCAAGACTAGTCGCGCTTTCGGGCAGCCCATGATCTGCAAGTTTGAAATGGGCAAGCAAGAGTTTGTGGACGGCTTCGGGTTGTGTTCGCCAGGCCGTTGGGCTCCCGAGGCGAGAGAGAAGTTGGCGTCCAGTGAAGAGGTGGCACATGCAGAGGGAATCCGTGGATTGCTACGAGACTTTGTGATTGACCAGCTGAAAGACCCCAAGGACATGGCATTCCGTCTCGCGACGGGCCATGTGAAGAATTCTCCTTTCACGGAGTCTGCCTTGCAGAAGCTGAGGCAGAGGATCGTCGGGTTGATCCCAGGGGCGTCTTCAGACATGCTGCGTGTACCCGAGCGGCAGCCATTCCACTTGTACTTGCTGGCCGAGTCGCTGAGGCTACTTGGTGACCCCGACTGGGAGATTCTTGTGCAAGGGGAAGAGTGTTATGCCGAGGGGATGCCGGTGGGCTTCGACTCACCACTGCCAACGGCACCGCAGGTGTTCCGGCCGAGGGACCGCTTCCGCAAGCTGGATGAGAGTGAGTTTGAACCGCAGATGCAGAACTACTCTTCTGCCGAGTTGTCTTCAGATAAGATCGAGGAGCACTTCAGGGCTGAGGAGCGGGAAGGCTTGATGGTGGCGACGACTGAAGGGGCCGTGAAGGCGGAGTACGGCGAGGGGCGACTTTTGGTGGCCGCCATGGGGGCCATTCTTAAACCAAGTGGTGATGTACGCCCCCTTCACGACGCCACCCACGGCGTCCGCTTGAACAATGGTATAAGGATTGCAGACAAGCTCGAAGTGCCTGGGCCTGCAGAAATCATCGAGACCGTGTCCAGGGCGCGGCAGGATTTTGGTGTCCCCTTCTCCATTGCGGCGGACATTGCCAAGGCACACAGGAGGTCCAAAATACGACGACGCGACTGGCCTTTGTTGGGCTGCCGGACTTCGTCGGCATCTAAAGTGATTTGGCTTAATTGCGTAGGAACTTTCGGGGTAAGTTCAGCTGCGATCCTTTGGGCCAGATTGTTCGGATGCGTCGGACGCTGGGTTTTGAGAGTGATGGGACGGCTCTGGAATGTGCAGATTGTGTATGTTGATGACCTTCATATCGTGGTGACTGGTCCCGACAAATACGTGGTGCTCTGGATGATTCTGGCCGCTTACGAGGTGCTGGGCACGCCGTTTTCTTACCGGAAGTTTCACGGTGGTGTAGAGTGCGAGTTCGTGGGCTACTGGCTTTCTTACCGAGAGAGTGCCGCCGGGATTTCGCTCAAGAGGACGCGCTGGGTGCTTGATTGGATTGACCATGCCGAGGCGAACAATTGGTTCGTCACGGGTCGGCGCTTTGCCGAATTCCTTGGACGGCTCAACTTTGTCTCCAGGGTGCTGACTTGGATCAAGCCTTTTCTTGCACCACTGTATGCTTTTGATGCCGTCTTGCAGAAGGGGACTGTGGCGAGGATTCCAGAGATGGTCTTTGTGTCGCTGGTGTACATCAGGGAGCAGTTAGCGGACGCCAGAGGACTCCACAGTGCTACAGGATTGGCGGGCACCTCGGGAGAGCTTCAGAACAGATGCAAAATGTGCCAACGGCTTGGTGGTGCTCGGGGGCTACTCACTTGAGAAGGGGACGGACCCGTCGGGGGCCAGATGGTTTTGTCTCGATGTGGTGCCGCAAGACTTGCCTTGCCTTTTCAAGGAAGATGGCGATAGCCAATGGGCATCGACGAGTGCGGAGTTGTTGGCATCACTTGCGGCGCTGAAAGTCTTTGATCATCTGGAAAAGGAGACGTCGGGAGTACGTGACAACATCAGGACTGTGGTTTGCGGCGGAACTGACAATTCTTCGACTGGCAAGCTGCAGAAGAAGGGCTCGAGCACTAAGTGGCCGTTGATGGGCATCCAGATGGCTTGTGCAGCGGCTTTGCATAAAGTGAACAAGCAGCTCACGCTGCAGTGGAGGCCTAGAGATGAGAACACTTTGTCGGATGCCATCACCAACCACGATTTTTCGAGTTTCTGCCCGGAGCTGAGAGTTCCTCTGAAGCTGGACGATCTGCCGCTTGATATTTTCCTTCGCATGGTCCACTCCAGGAGTGCTTTCTTGGATTCACGAGTCAGCCTGCAGCGATTGGTCTCGAGGGAGTCGGCGATGTCTCGCCGGGAGAAGGAGACGAGCAAAACACCTTGGTGATCTCTCACATGTCGGACTGGCTGCCTTCCTTCGGGGGGGGTCTCGAGGCAACTGCGACCGTCATGTGAACATGTGGTCCAGGCTTCAGACGGCAAGATCCAGTTCGACGCACCGATTGAAAACAATGGTCTTCGAGTTTGCCTTCGATTGCGCGATGCCTCAAGAGTGATTCTGAGCAACTGCATGTTCGATCGTCTACTGCTTGAGCTTTGGTGTGGAACCTTGGTGAATGCATTCGAGCGTCAGCTGCAGTTGATTTTCCAACGACTTTTGATTTCCCTTAAAACCCGACCCTAACCCTCAAGGCTCAAAGGTTCGACTCAAGGCGTGAGAACACGCAGCTTGGGCCCGAGACGGGAACTCCGCGAGTTCCAAGCTGGACAACACCGTAGGTAGGCTCGGTGGCTAAGTCCGTCTCGACTGTGCCATGGCTCCTTCCTCGGGGGGCGCTGTGGGTGCTGAGCGGAAAAGGATGATGGATTTGGCGGCCATGGAGGCCGCGACGTCGAGTACTCAGCTGATCCTGCCTGTCAGCTACAGAAAGTTCAGGGGAGTTGCGCCGCGCAACTATGTTCTCAAAGCTATGCTTGAGGGTGAGCATGCTTCCATCGAAGACTTTCTGGAAAGGCTCAATGAGGATGCAAGAGCAGTTGTGGGATCGGCTGTGCTTGTGGATGAGCTCTTTCGTGTACGTGAAGCCCTCGTTCTTCTCTGGACCGAGCAGCTGACAAAGCGGTGTGATGGCGACCCACCTTGGGTGGAGCGCCTCCAGGCGATGGGACATTTCCCGAGCACTACCCTGTGGTTTGCTGACGGGGACTTTGGCCTTGCTCCGGCGGAGGCCTATCGCGATGCAAATGTCCAGCAGCAGCGGGGCAGCCGGGAGCAAGTGGCAGCAGCGCTGCCGCTCTCTGGTGGGCGACCTGGCGCTGGGGCGGACACTGAGCTGGTGACGCGGCCGGCTGCTGGTGAGATTGAGGAGGATGCGGAGCCGGCTGGGCCTCCCGAAGTGGAGGCGACCAACCATGACGATGCTGCTCTTCCTTTGCAGCCGGCGGCCAGAGGTAGTAGCGTAAGGGCCCCGACCCGAGAACCGCGAAAAATCAAAGAAGATCCGTGGAAGGACAAAGAGCCACCTAGCCCGGCCTCTCCCTGCCTCCTTGGTAACATGTTTGCTAAGACCGGCCCGTTCGGGGCCCCCTCCGAGAGTAGCTCTCCTTGCCGCCATGGCCTCGGTGCTGCAGCTCTCGGCCTGTGTCAGTGTCAGTCCCCTGCCTCTTGCGAACCGGCAGGTGTGGACTTCCTCGGGGGCCCCCTGGGCGCCACGGCCCAAGGTGGCAGTGCGATCGAGCAAAGCTGTGGCACGGATTTTCTTGGCGGCCCCATCTGGACAGTGATGCAAGCGCATGCATATCCTAGTGCCAGTGTGGATCATGTGCAGCCTGTGCAGCAATCCCTTCCGTGCCTTCCGGTGTGTGTGCAGTTTGGGCTTCCTGCCCTCCAGCGCTGCTTTGCATTCCTGCAAGGTGTCCGTGTGGGTGAGGCAAAGCACCCGGGTCCGCGAGGCCCACCAGCAGTGATTACCTGGAACTGGCATTTGGGGTTTAGGTTCGGCGAAGCTTCGCACCCAGGCCCTGCTGAGCCTACGAGCCGAGGTAATGGATGCCATCCCCTTTTCCCCTCTTGGGTTCTAGGTCCCCCGCGACGCCAGCAGCCGGCCCCGGCGCCGCTAGGCCCCCTAGGGGTTGAGTGTGCACCTAGGTGCTGCGTGACAGGCCGCCGGGCCCCTGCAGGCGAGCTGATGCTTAGTGTGTGCCATGACTGGAAGAGGGGATGCCGCCTGGGCGAGGCTTCTCACCCTGGGCCTGGCTTCAACCTTGACCTTGGCAACCTTGGGGATAGCCTTGGCGATAGCATCATGAAGTCGATCAAGGAGCAGATCCAAAAGGCAGTTGACGAGGCGGTAAAGCAGGCCCTGGCGTCGCTCAATCTCGGCCGGGGCTTGGCTGCTGCCTGGCCGTCCGGCGATCCAGCCATGCAGCCCGAGCCAAAGGGAAGGCGCAAGAGGAAGCGTAAGGCCAAGCAGGCCACGAGCCACCCAGGTGGCAAGCCCGACGCTTCGGGCAGTGAGTGTGCAGGTGGCCGCCAGAGCGCAGCCAAAGGCAAGGGCAAACCTGCAGAAAAATCCGGCCCAGCCAAGGTGGCCCAGCGCGGTGGCCCAGGCGACTCAGGTCAACGCCGGGGCAAGGGCAAGGGCTGTTGTGGTGAGGCAGGCGGGCAGGAAGCCGGTGATGGCTGGAAGATCATCCAACGCAGGGCCCCGGAAGGCGCCTTCAAGCTCCGAAAATCTGATTGGGACGCTCCGGTCGTTGAGTACGCTGCCCTCGCTGAGTTCATTGACAAGGCTGATGCCAGCAAGGTCCTCGAAATTGTAGTTTTTGCTGCGGCCGACCAGGTCACGCTTGCTACGAACATTCTGCGGGGGAGCGGGCTGAGTTTCAAGGCCCTGCTTGTTTTTCTCTCCAAGGATGAGGAGGCTCAGCGCATCCCGGGCACCATTGGGGATCGCCTGGTGTTTAGGACTGCCAAGGTCCAGAAGCTCACGTCTGCAGGTGCCAGTGGCCACGCGCCGCAGCCCACCGGCCTGAGCCAAACGTCCATCAAGATCAAACCCACTGAAAGTGCAGTTGTATACTTTAAGGTGCCAAAGCAGTTCGCCTCAGCCGACACTTGGAAGGCTTTCGGGGGCAACGCCTCCAAGGCCGCTGTAGACTGGGTCGCGGCCCACAGGATCAAGGTGCTCGACACTTTTGCCTGGGTCCTGGAAAAGCAGCGCAACGACACTCATGAGCAGTACTTCGGCATTGTTCGCATTCCGAAGGCAGACATTGAGGGCATCCTGGCCCACTCTGGCAAGGACGGTGTCTTCGTGGATGCCGCTCGCACCTCAGGGCCCCGGGCGAAGCTCCAATGGATCGAGAAGCTTCCTGGCGAGAAGGTGGACGCCTACTTTGAACGTGCCCTGCGCCAGGCTTCCAGCCTGGGCTTAGTCGTCAATGGGGGGCGATTGGCGTGGCGAAGTGCCATGGCGGACGGAGAAGCAACGGTGCGCATCTGGCACATGGATGGTGTGCCCCACGAGTGGGATGCGGATGCCGTCGGCCAGCTCTTGGCCACACGCTTCACTGAGTACACCATTCTGTCGCATCGGCGCACCCGCCTCGGATCCTGCTTTCGCTTCCGCGGGCAACCTGGAACTGCAGACACTGACCTGGTGCCGTTCGTCGTCGAGCATAAGGAGAAGCCCTTGTCCCTGTGGGCCACGCTGGCACCTTTCCGTGTCGTCTCTAAGAAGCAGAAGCCTCTCGCCTCGAAGGCCGTCCCGGTCGTTGCTCTCGAGAAGCCTGTTGTTGCCACCACCGTCAAACCTCCCACGGGGGAGCTGGCCACGGGCGAGGACGGCAAGGAAGTGCCCCAGCAGAAGCGTGTCAAGCAGGAGGTGCGCACCAAGCCAGGTGACCTCCAGCTCAAGGCCTGCCCTCGTGACGGGGCCTGTGTACTGCATGCCATGAGCCTCGGCCTTCAGTGGCTCGGGGACTCTCGGCCCAATCACCCGCGCATGCTCCGTGCGCAAATGGTCGATCACATGCGCCGGCATGTCACCCAGTACGAGAAGGAATGAAGGGCTTATGATTCGATTCAAGCCTCCGATTTGATTCAAGCCTCCAGTCGGGACCTGGTGCCTGGTGTGGCTTAGACTGGTATGGTTGTCGCCCGAAGAAAGCCTGCAAAGCAGGCTTCTGGTAAGCTTGAAGGCAGTACTACTCGTAAGTAGTAGTAGTAGTAGTAGTAGTAGTAGTAGTAGTAGTAGTAGTAGTAGTAGTAGTAGTAGTAGTAGTAGTAGCAGTAGTAGTAGTAGTAGTAGTGGCAGTAGTGGTAGTGGTAGTAGTAGTAGTAGTAGCAGTAGTAGTAGTAGTAGTAGCAGTAGTGGTAGTGGTAGTAGTAGTAGTAGTAGTAGTAGGAGCAGTAGTAGTAGTACTAGTACTAGTGCTAGTGCTAGTGCTAGTGCTAGTACTAGTACTAGTACTAGTACTAGTACTAGTACTAGTACTAGTACTAGTACTGATACTAGTACTAGCACTAGCACTAGTTCACTAGTACTAGTGACAGTGCTTGTGCTAGTACTAGCACTTGTACTAGTACTAGTACGAGTACTAGTACTAGCACTAGCACTGGCACTCGGACTCGCACTAGCACTAGCACTAGTACCAGTACTAGTACTAGTACAGTCTGGGACTAGCACTAGCACTAGCACCAGCACTAGTACCAGTACTAGTACTGGTACTAGTACCAGTACTAGTACTAGTCAGTTCGGAAGATACACTTGACAAGAGCTATGATGAGTTAATTCCGATACTCGGGTCATAGTGACGTCCCATTTGCAAGCTCCGCATAATCGGAAAGCTCGAATCCAGTGACTATTTCCACGCAGGAAGGTCGAATTCAGTGCCCGTGGAGTCGTATTCAGTATACTTGATAAGAGCTACGATGAGTTAACTCCATTTGCAAGCTCCGCGTTATCGGAAAGGTCGAATTCAGAGATTTTTACCACGGCGGAAGGTCGAATTCAGTGCCCGCGGAGTCGATTTCAGTGCCCGCAGAGGAGGCAGATTGTTGACACTGTCGGAATTATAGAGACACTTGACACTGTCGGAATGACCGCCAAGTGGCTGCGGAGGAGACTGTTGTTGGGGTATGGGATTTACACGAAAGGTCGAATTCAGAGATTATTACCACGGCGGAAGGTCGAATTCAGTGCCCGCGGAGTCGAATTCAGTGCCCGCAGAGGAGGCAGATTGTTGACACTGTCGGAATTATAGAGACACTTGACACTGTCGGAATGACCGCCAAGTGGCTGCGGAGGAGACTGTTGTTGGGGTATGGGATTTACACGAAAGGTCTGAGGGCCGAATTCAGTGCTACCGGGGAGGCAGGAGTCT